ACAATTTAGTACAGTCCGATCGCACAAAGTTTTTTTAAAAGTACACCTCATCTATACCGAAAATGCATAATATAAAAATATTGAATATAAGCACCAGTACTACATTTATTTACGATTTGCATACATAATAAGCTTTTATTACTCTCTTTCATTTCTAAACAGACTAAAGGCGTGTTTATTTCCATTACCATTACATTACATTGTGTTAGGTGATTGGAGTTCCTACAAAAATTAAAAATTATATTGTCTCGAGTCCCTTGGCCTTTGCAATATACATATTCGAAAAGTGTACGGTTACTTGCGTAAGTTGTAGTAAATACCTAGTACCTAATCCTAGTATAATTTTTACATCAGAGTAAAATAAGGTAAGTGCAGGATTTTTTCAATTACTGTCAGCTGTAACTGTTAACAACAATATCAGAGAGGGTGCAGTATATTATAATTATTAATTTTGTTGCCGCTAGGGCGGCAGCAAAAGTTTCGCACCCCGGCGGTAGTTACCCTTGGCGCGCCCCTGGATAGCCCGGAGCAGTTTAAAATAGGTAACGGCTTCCAGGTATCGAAATCTCCAATCGACTTGTCTTGAAGAGTTTATTCTTAATTTGTAGTATTTGGAATGTTCCGGAATTAGCGTTCCGAAGACCCTCAGCTTCCTACCAGTAACTATAGTATGTATCATCTGAGTTAAAGTGTGTGGACACGTATCACTCTCAAACATTTCTGTAGCACGCATACATTTCGGGTACTTTGAGTATATCATGTACGTACAACACATTTTGTAGTACTGCAGTTAAAATAATGAAATTGGAACGTAAAACGGCCATCGTTGTTAAGCAACAGAGTGACTATAAACGAATGAGCTACATAATGATTTGTAAAGTTTTATAACTGTTCTTTATAGAGGGGAAGAGGAAATAAAACAAACAAGGACAAATAAGCGTATATTAAGCATATTAAAAATAAAATGTAACATTATAAGGTAATTGGTACAATTCTTGTAGATGTAGGTCCATCCTTCGTTGCAGAAAATCGATGTGGATTCGTAAATACATCGTCCCACTTGTCTTGAATGTTCATCTTTTGAAACTGTTTAGTCAGTTTACACTGGTTCTCCTATATCGGATTTTAATTGGTGAATTTTTTCGATATGTTTAACTAATTTGAGAATTTTGGAAGTCGTTTCAATTCCTCCCTTAAATCTAAATCTGTTCGCATCGAAAAATTCCCAGTATCTACGTCGAGCAGTAGACGCAAAAGTCAAAGTTTTCATTATATACACTTGATTTTTAAATTCGTCGAAAGTAACATTTTTTTTCTTCTTCATTGGGGCAATAAGTTGTATACCCAACAGAAAAGTCCTCACAGTTCCTCTTGCTGCATCTGACTGTTTTATTTAGATTCATATGATATGAACAACGGGGCACATCTACATGAAAAAGCGGTGGGGTCCGCCAATTATCAAATTTTTCAACGTTTACCACGTTGGGTAAGTGCTGCCGACTTGAGGGAACCAATTGTGATAATATTTTCTTTAAATAGTCCAGCTTTTGACGTCCCCTGACATAAGTTATATCAGCACTCAACAGATAATTACCCAGTAATATAGCTTTCAACGCACTATCACTATATTCTACGTTTCTAGAAGAATACCGGATGCCGTACATATTTCGTTCTGTATATCTAACCTGCTTCTTATTAACGCTGGATAATTCATGAAAACGCATAGGTGGTTTCATTAAATATGGACTCACTTGGCATCCATCCTGATTTGTTATTTAATTAGGATAAAATTCATACCCTCCACTGATACCCAGTAACATAAAACCCTGGATGTCTAAATCCACAACCTTCATTTCGGACGACTTTCGAGCAACTAATTAACAATTACTTAGATTTTATTTTTAAAGCTAGTTCTTGATTATTTCGCTAAGTGAGTGGTGTTCCATAATACAATCGTGTACTGAACTAACACAAATGTTGTCTTGTTTCACCATAACACAAATGCTTCACCATAATACTAATGTTGTCTTACTTCACCATAAATTAAAACGATATCCATCAACTCCGAGTTGCTATACATGCAAACCATTTTTGACACTAACTACTAAAAAACTATTGTAATCACCACGTATAACAGGTAAAAACTATGGCAACGACGATTGCAAAATCTGATTTCAGTATTCGGAGTCGCTAAGGCCACGTGGCTCTCCACGCGTATTGCGAATGACGCTAGAGACTACAGTTGTCCAGCTATGTAGTGGTTAAATGTACTACAACTTCAATATTTCTTTTCTCGGAAACTATAAGGATTTTACAAATTTTTTTTTTTACGATATTGACTCCATTTCTCATGCCGCATCTATTCCCAAATTTGTTTGGATAAGTTGTGAATCACCCTGTATGTAATAAATTAAAAATTAATATCGTCTTTTATTGAGTTAAGAAGAAAAAAATAATGGGGTTTTAATATATGATATATTACATATTACAATTACAAGATATATTTTAAATTATAGCACAAAAAACTTCTACATCCATCCTCCCGGACTGTGATAAATTATTGGAAATTTGGATAAAACTACTTAAAAGTTACCGATTTGATTTCAAACTTCCATTATAACAGACCAGACTGGAACATATACTGGGATGGGTCAATAATGTCCCAAAAGAATTGTGAATTTTGTAAACGTGGTTAGCATTTGATCTATGTTAAAATTAACAATAAATGGTGGTGGTGATGATGTGGGGGATGGTATTAGTGTTGTACAAAGCTGGGCAAAATACTTTTAAAATATATTTAAAATACAAATTATAAAATACCAGTACGAAAGTATTTTAAAATACTTAAAAACAAAATACTTCTTTAGCAAAGTATTATAAATACAATCTACTTAGTATTTAAAATAGTATTTTAAGTATGTTGAATATTAAATACAGGGTGATTCACAAACGGTGACCAAAAATGAAACCTCGTATTCTTTGGTGAATTTTAAAGGACAACTTTTCGTGTAAAGTTATTATCTAGCACGCTTTGTCAACAAGATACAGGGTGTTAAACTTAAAAAAAATGTATTTAATTTTTTTAAATAATTTAAAAGCTAGTAAGTGAAATAATTTGAAATGGACCACATATATTTATATAAACATTGTTCAAAATCTGAGGCCTTTTCCTAAAATTTAGATGCTCCAGTGGCAGCATATCTGTGGCATATTTTTTTTAAATAAAATAGTACCCCACTGTTTTACGGGAACAATTATGATATTTTCGAATTCGTCTTTCAGTTTTTAATAAATTACTATCTCTTATCTTTTTCGAAAAAGCCTGATTTTCGAGTGAAACTTAAAAAACGACCTGAAAACACACTTCCATATTCCAATAAAATGCGGTTTAAATTTACTATGTAAGCCTACTGGCTGCGATAGCAACTTGACATTGTGAGCAGTTAGAAGAGATTAGATTCATCGGATTCAAGCAACGATAAATTTCGAACAAATTACATTTTCGTTACTAAAAAGATGTCGCGCCTGTGTTCGTAGAAACTGAGGTATTTTTGAGTATTTACTCAAATAAAATCATGAAAATGACGACTAATGTTATTAATTTCTTTATTTGAATAAGTAACCGAATGATTAGGTAGTATCTGTCATGTTATTTAAGTGTTTTAAGTTTTTAAGTTTTACTCGAAAATCAGACTTTTTTCGAAAAACATAAGAGAGTAGTAATTTGTAGAAAATTGAAAGACGAATCCGAAAATACNATGAAAACTAGATTTAGTATTAATTTATAGTATTGACTAAATTTGTGCCAGCAGTTGCGGTTATACAGATAATATATTTCAATTTTTATTAGTATTAATATATTTAAAATTATAAGATTTTAAGGAAAAATTTATTAGGTGAAATTTTAAGGTTTTTAAAAAATTTATTTATAGTGATTAGTTAATAAATTTATTAATAAACTAGGATTAGATACCCTATTATTATAAATGTAAAATTAAGCTAGATTAGTATTAGTTATGTTCTTGAAAATTGTGAAATATTAAATCTGAGACTAGTGACTTAAAAAAATATATTACGAGTCGATAGTCCACGATTTACTTAACCTTTATTATAAATTTGTATATCGTCGTAGTTTGAATATTTTAAAAGAATTTAAATATTCAAAATTTATTATTTAAAAGATATCAGATCAAGGTATAGTTCATATAAAGGTAGAAATGGGTTACATTAATTTTAATTAAGGATAATTTATTGAAAATAGATTTAAATAGGGATTTAAAAGTAATTTTTTTAAGATTTAAAAAATGATTTTAGCTCTAAAATATACACATATCGCCCGTCGCTTTCATCCCAAGGTGAAATAAGTCGTAACAAAGTCAGACATGAGTTTGGAAACAATCATTTTCATCTGGATTACTGAGATGCAGAATATTCAATCATAAATTTTTATTAGTTTTTCTTAAAATAAAAAAAAAGAAAAAAGAAATCAATTTTGAATTTTGATGATTGCACGTCTACTGACTACACTAGTGATGATACTGATCTAAAAGGTAGTAGACAAAATAGCAATAACACAACGCACATTGCCGAATGCAGGGTAGAATGCGCTAAATTCAGGAGTGCAGGCCCGTAATTTTTTTTAGCACGTGTTGTAGGTACCAGTCGCCAATCGTAACATGCAAAAAGTATTTGTTTTTGGTTGGTATTTTAAATTACTTTTATAAGATTTTTAAATACTTTTTTAAAATACAAAATACAATAATTAAAGTATTTGAAATTCAAAATACTATTTGGTATTTGTGTTTGTATTGTCAAAATACTCCCAGCTCTGTAACACTTGGTGGTGGTGGTGGTGGTGGTGGTGGTATCTGCAATGATGATGATGATGTTGAATATGTATTTATATGTTTCCTACAACACACAAAAGACAATATGTTTATATCATGCAACATTATAAAATTTTGAGTAACTTACATCAAGTCCATCATTGACAATGGGATCTATGGCGGTTGTAGTGACGGTGATGGTGGTGGTGTATCATCATCATCATCATCATAATCCATCTCAGAACTGTAATATAAACATTAATATGTTTATACCGTAGATATTATAGAACACTAAATAAATTACGAGTAAGTCAAGGGCGCCATTAATGTGGATGATGGTGATGACGCATACGGCGTCCAAAGCCTTGCACCATTTCTGCAATACAAAAATTAAGTTTGGTTTATATCATGTTCCATTGTACACATTGAAAAACTTACAACAAGTCTCTCAATGGGATTAATGGGGGTGGTGACTGTGATGGGGGTGGCGGTGGTCGTGTTGATGATGTCGGTGATGATATTAAAATGATATTATCATCATCACCATCATCCATGTCAGAACTGTAATATAAAAATTAATATGTAATATCAGTAGACCATCACAAATTTTTAATAACTTCCGTTAAATCAATAATGTCATTTCCATTACTAACATGTGTTATATGCAAACCACTGGTAAAGAGAAATAACAATTTTTAAATGAACTTTTTCACAAATAATAAAAATATTATTTAATTGGAAATGTATGATCAAAAATTTACTTTTTTTAATATAATTATCCGGAAAAACTGGGGGCGTATAGCGGTTAGTATGGTGTGCCAGCGATTCATAATAATATTCCATTTTCATAATAATGTCATTTCCATGACTAACAGGTGTTATATGCAAACCACTGGTAAAGGGAAAAAATAATTTTTAAATGAACTTCTTCACAAATAATAAAAATATTATTTAATTGGAAATATGTGATCAAAAACTTACTTTTCTTTAATATAATTATCCGGAAAAACTGGGGGCGTATAGCGGTTGGTAATATTGGTATGGTGTGCCAACGATTCATAATAACATTCCATTTTCCCAGTATGTACTTAACTGTTAAATGAATTGTTTTTTTACTACGTTTTAAAAAATATAATATTGCATATCATAATGGGAAAAGTAAATACATACTTTAGTATGCAAAATTATAATAAGCATTAGTAGAAACTTCAATACATTAATTTTTTATTATTATTTTTCAGGGAGAAGAGTTGAAACATTGTTAAGACGCACTGGGATTACTATTCGTGTAGGGGAGGTTATTGCTTTTTTAAACATATGAAAGAATATACGACAAATAGAATACGATACTAATACGATACCTGAGGGGTATTTAGCGAATACTTTATTGTTCAATGATGTTTAGAAAATAATGTTGCAAATTTTGTTGTTCTGAAGTGAAATTGTGTAATCGGAGTAGGTTACCGTATAGAGATCAATTGTTAAAATGGTTAAGCAGTTTTAGGAAGCTTTTTAGAATCGACGCGCCAATCTATGGATTGTAATTGAATGAAACTACACCGAGATTAATACTATGAACATAAATTGAGATGGTTTCTCTCATGAGGCAGCCAGTTTGATACGTGTTGACGAAGATATGGGAGTTGGCAAGGCCTTCTATATATCGACTGAGACTTTGGGGAAGAAGAATAAAATACCGACATACGCGCATGCGTACTGAGACAAATTCCAATTTATTGCTACATTAAGTGAGCCCTACTTTCCTATAAATAAGAGATCATTACTCCCAATTGAATAAATTCTAAGAAAGTACATTCACTTATCTCAATGGAGCAACTCACTTGAGACAGATCGACAATTGAATATATCATAATTCTAAGAAAGCTGTTAAATAGAGGCAAGACAATTGTTATGGTGGTATCAGACACGTTTCAGCAAAACGTATTTACTTATGACAACATGATTTTTATATTGTCCTTGCAAATATTTTACTAACAGTCACGTCGATGATTTCTTTCAGTGTATCTTCATATAAATGTTATCATATTCTTGCTATTATTTGAATTTAATAGTAAATTTCGTGAAGTAGTTAAAATATATATTGTAATAAAATATACATGTTAAATACAGAGAGATCCAGAATGATTGAAGTGTTTGGAGATCGCAGCCTGTGCCTGTCTCTGTCAATCCTACAGATTTTTATATGCTAAAGAGGGTGTTATAAACAGGCTGCGTTTACCAAACGCTTCAATCATTCTGAATCTCTCGGTATTTTATAGGACTAATATCTGTAAATTTATAATTACGATATCAATTTTTGCATAGGAACATTTCCTAGATTTTTGTATGGTGTTTTCCTTTAAACTGTGATTTATGAATGTTTCTAAAAGATTTGAATAAAGGTGTCCGATGAATCTAATAGAGATTAATTGGTTTATTATAGAAATAGTAAAAACCGATGTGAAAACAACAGCCAAAGATAGCTGCCAAATCCTACGGACTTACCCAAACGACCATAGACGTACGTTTCAAGAGGTGCGAGAGATACAAGCACGGCGCATGTGCATAATTTCCTTATCCATATTTGGCAATCTCGTTTGTCGTGCTACATAACTAATTAGTTTCATTAAAACATACATGAAATTTGAAATTAAATTCAAAACAGTATGAATGCTATAAAATACCGGAATAAAGAAAAAAAAAATCAACAACAACTGTACAAAAGTACAGCGACAACGTTCTAATTTTATAGGTATACTAAATGTATAATTTAATATTTAGAACAATGAAAATTTTGAACTTTTTATAAAATATGTGTATGTTTGTATATTCGTTTAGCAATCTACTATGAAGGTAATCAGGTTAAATTATGAGCAACTTGCAATGAGTTCTAGAACTATCGGAAATTTTAAAGAAACTCCCGTTTTTCCCAAACATTCAGGAGCATTTTTTAGTTTAGTGATAAAATTACTAAGGCGCTAAAGCCTATGTTATGAGCGACTTGCATTAGACTTCAGTGAGTGAAATTGAAGGAAAACTACTAGAAATTACAAAGTAAATTCGATATCTCCCAAGCTACATCATGGAACACTTTTTCACTTCGGATGCTATCTCCTGAGTTATCCTTAAAATTTGAATGACATGCATCAGAATGGTTTCAGGGGGTGAAATTGAAGGAAAACTATTGGAAATTTCAAAGAAAATTAGGTATTTCCCAAACTACAATCCTAATACTTGCAGTGGGTTTCAAGGGGTGAAAATTGAACTATTGGAAATTACAAAGAAAATTCGGTATCTCCCAAGCTACAATCCAGAGCACTTTTTCGCTTTGTATGCCAATTTCTGAGACGTTAGAGAATATCCACTTAAAATTTGAACAACTTGCAATGGCTTCCAAGCGGTGAAATTGAAGAAAAACTATTGGAAATTTCAAAGAACATTCCCACAATCCGGTGCACTGGAAAAAGAAAATATTTTAGTGTCATACCAATCTAGTTTGGATCATCTTGCCGCGATGGACAATAATCACAATCAAAATCACAATCAGAGTGACAATGACAAGGACAAGGAAAATGAACAAGGACAATGGACAAGGACAATGAACAAGGACACTGGACAGGGACACTGGATAAGGACACTGGACAAGGACAATGGACATGGATAATGGCCAAGGACAATGGACAAAAGCAATGGACATGGACGAGGACAATGGACAAGGACAATGGTCAAGGACAATGGACAATGGACAAGAACAATGAGCAAAGACACTGGACAAGAACCCTGGACAAGGACAATGGACAAGGTCAATGGACAAAGAAAATGGACAACGAACAATGGACAAGGACAATGTGCAAGACCAATGGACAAGGACAATGGACATGGACAATGGACAATAACAATGGATAAGGACAATTGACAAGGACAATGGACAACGGACAAGGGCAATGGACATAGACATAGGACAAGGACAATGGACAAGGACAATGGACAAGAACAATGGATAAGGACAATTGACAAGGACAATGGACAAGGGCAATGAACAGAGACATAGGACAAGTACAATAGATAATGGACAAGGAGAATGGACAAGGTCAATGGACAAGGCCGATGGACAAGGTCAATGGACAATGACAATGTACAAGGACAATGGACAATGGACAAGGGCAATGGACAAGGGCACTGGACAAGGAGAATGGACATGGACAATGGACAAGGACAGTGAACAAGGACAATGGACAAGAACAATGGACAAGGACAATTGACAAGGACAATGGACAACGGACAAGGGACAAATACAAAGGACAATGGACAATGGGCAAGGAGAATGGATAAGGACAATGAACAATGCCAATGGACAAGGTCAATGGACAATGACAATGTACAAGGACAATGGACAAGGGCAATGGACAAGGACACTGGATAATGGACAAGGGCAATGGAACTCATTCAGTCATTCAAATTTTAAGAGGATAATCTCTGATAACTCACGAGGTAGTATCCGAAACGAAAAAAGTGCTTCATAGTGTAGTTTAGGAGATACCGAATTTTCTCTGAAATTTCTAGTAGTTTTTTTTCGATTTCATTCTCTGAAGTTCAATGCAAGTCTCTCATAATATACGAGTAGGCTTTAGCACCTTAGTAATTTTATCACTAAACTAAAAAATGTTCCTGAACGTAGTTTGGGAAAAACGGAAGTTTCTTTGAAATTTCCGATAGTTCTCCTTCATCTTAAACTCATTGCAAGTTGGTCATAATTTAAACGGATAATCGTTGGTACTAAAGTATTCTCCTAAACGAATAAACATATACAAACATACACATATTTTATAAAAAGTTCCAAACTTCAATTGTTCTAAATACTAATTTATATATTAAGTATGCCTATAAAATAAGAACGTTGTCACTGTAACTTTGTAATATTTTTTCTTTATTCCGGTATTTCATAGCATTCATACTATTTTGAATTTAATTTCAAATTTCATGTATGTTTTAATGAAACTAATTAGTTTAACTAATTAGTTATACAGCACGAACAACGAGATCGCCAACTGGATAAGGAAATTATGCGTATGCGCCGTGCTCGTATTTCTCGCACCTTTTGATACGTACGTCAATGGTCGTTCGGCTAAGTTCGTAGGTTTTGACAGCTATCTTTGACTGCTGTGTTCACACCGGTACTCAAAAAAGGTTCATCTCCCGTTCAGATGGCACCATGCGGCACGACACGATAATTTATTCAAAACGGAAATGAAAGCAGCTTTGTTCCTACTGCATTAGAAATAGTTAGCATTATATCGGAATGCATCTGTGTCTGACTGTAGGAAACTGTTTTGAATTGTACTAAGAAACAAATCTATTAACTCGCATTGACGAGCTACCATCTGAACATTCATATTTAAAATTCTTCGTCATTCGACACTTTTATCGTTTTGATAAAATAACCGAACAAATGCACTATTCGTCTTGATAGATAAGATATTTGAAGTCCCATAAATCTTTCCGTTTTTAAGTAATTACTGTTAACAAAACAATTTCAAATAAAAAAGTAATTAAGTAGTTACTTAAAAAACGTTCATAATTGTTTCGTTCTCATAAAAAATGAGCTATAATTTAAATATAAAAACATTTTCTACATACAGTGCGCACATACAGGATGGAACAAATTATTTAAAATACTTACATATTATCAAACTAAGAAAAATAAACTCATATATCTGATAGTCAAGCTGCAAATAAGATTTTAAGACACATAAAAGGTAAGTTGAAAAGTTGTGTGGGAATGTTTACAAATGCTGACTGAACTTATTACCACTAATACAGTTAGACTGGGTTGGGTGCCAGGACATAAAAGCATTGATGGAAAAGCGGATGAACTTGCTAGGAAGGGAACCCACAGTTGATTGGTCCGGAACCCTTCTGTGGCACATCTTCTTCAAGGTTAAGGCAAACCATTGCGAAGAAACTTATGAAGTGTCCTTTGCAGAAAAGTACAAATGAGTTGCTGAGTTTGAATAAAATTCAGCACAGGAAAGTGACGGAATTTATAACGGGACACTCTCACTTTAGAAAACATCTACACAAGTTAAAGCTTGTAGACAGTCTGATTTGCCGAGGATGTGACTGAGAGAAGTCTCGGTAAGGAATCTTTTGGACTTTGCAAAGAGGACAAAACTACTTGTTGTAGAGTAGTAGTGGAAGGCACAATAGGGTTTATAAGGTCGCGGCTAGACTACTAGAAGAAGAAGAAGAAGAAGAAGAAGAAAAATAAATGGAAATATCAATATTCATTTTTAAGTGTATAAGTGCAGAACATATATAAGTATATGTTCTTTATACCGTCATTATTGTTCCAAATATAACGTTTAACTATTTAAACGAGCATAAGTTTTTATATAGAACATAAAATATAAATTTAAAATAAACTTAAAACCTAGTTGAATAAAAAATAAAAATAATAATAAAATTGTTCATTCCACAAAAAAATATGGCGTCTAAAAAAAGGTTATGTCAAAAATGAAGGGGTATACAGGGGAGGTCAAAATAGTTGTAGTACTTCATAAAATAATTTTTTCTATCGGGCTTCGTTGTGGAGTTATTCGCCTTCAAAGAAAGAAGATCGAAAAACAAATTCCAATTAAAACTTCTAAGTCCTTACAGTGACAACAATGGAATTTGGGCAATTAAAGTAACTCGTGGTAATGTTCATTTCCAAGTTTAAACTGATATTTAATACGCCTGAATTTTACAGGAGCAGATAAAATTATCCATTTAAATTTGCACATTTTTGACAGCGTTGCCAAATTTGGAATTTTTATTTTATAGTTGTATTCTTCTCTCACGTTGCTTAAAAAAATATACCATATAGCAGTCGATACCTTGTACCGTTTTTGAAAAAAATCGAATTTTATTAACAACACACATGTATTGTGTCAAAAATGTGATATTAACATTTTTGTAAAAATCTTGGTTCCTTTGGAAAGTGAGATGACTGTCAACAAGTATGTACAATTAGCGGTTAGATATTTGTCATAAATCATTTTGACACCATTTGTTGATTCAATATCATGGAGGATTTGCAGATATTCATCTAATGTACGAACTTGCAGAATGTAACGATCTTACTTAACAGTTATCTTTTTTCTTTTAATTCTATACCTAGAAACCAAGATTTTTACAAAAATGTTGGTAATACATTTTTGATACAATAGACGTATGTTGTTAATAAAATTTGATTTTCTCAAAAACGGTACAATATATCGGTAGATGTAAGGTATACCATTTTTTTAGCAAAGTGAGAGATGAATAGAACTATGAAAGAAAAATGTCAAATTTGGCAATGCTGTCAAAGTTGTATTAATTTAAATGGATAATTTCGTCTGCTCCTGTATAATCCAATCATATTGAATATCAGTTTAATCTTCGAAATGAACATTACCATGAGTTACTATGATTGCCCAAATATTGTTATCATGGTAACGACTTAGAAGTTATAATTGGAATTTGTTTCTTAAACTTCTTTCTTTGAAGGCGAATAACTCCACAACGAGGTCCGATAGGAAATTTTTTTTTATGAAGTACTACATCCATTTTGACTTCCCAAAGTACTTTTTTTCGTCTTCAAAAGACCTACAAAACTAGCCCTCAAAAAATGTTGATTAGATTAAAAGTTATAAACACAAGAAGAAATGAGTTTTGAATTAAACATTTATAAACTGCGTTATTATTACCAGAACGTTTTGGCATCGCATCCTCTCATTCCTTATCACTGTCAAATAACTCACACGAAATCTGGAATCGGTAAGTTGAATAGTTTACGAGTTATGGCCTTATAAACAAATTAACTAATTATTAGTCTGGACGATCCCGAGCATCTTCCACAATCGCACAGATTTTT